GAATAAAGGATAAATGGAGGTAGAACAAGAACAATGAAATAGAGGATGGAATTAACTCACTTCGTAGTAAGATCTCCAAGTCGTTTGAGATGGAACCTTTCCTGTTCACAGATTAATCTGATTCTGTATTCACAAGTATAACGGGAATATATTTATACAAATCAACAAAAAAAAAATACAATTAAATGGTTCCAATTGGTACTACATAGAGTCCCAGACGCCTACATGAAAAAACACCATTAATCCGAGCACACAATGATTTTTTCTCTCATGATGAAACGAGAAAACGAGAGAGGAGTACGCTACGACAACCTCTTCCCACTTCTTTTTTCGTAAACTTTTAAAATTCTTTTAAAATTTGAAGTTCAAAGCTAATGCTATAAATTTTCTCAAATTTTGCACACAAAACATCAATAAAAAAAGTAGTGAGCTAAGTCTGAAAATGTCAGTTTACACTCATTACGCCAAAAGGTGATTTGATTACAATCTTATTCTTATACCTACGCAAATCAAAGGGGTTTAATTGTTATATTTTTTGGAGGAAAATATTAATTCGCGACGTTGAGATGAATGGAGGTTGTGCATCTTGATATTTCAATAGTTGCAGTTGCTCGTCTCTTGGTTTCCACTCTTTGTTCATCGATTGAAAGTAGAGTTCTGCTGCAAATTGTGTCCTAAAAAGGTCACTTCTTTTTGCATCACTTCAAAGCTAATGCTATAGTGTTTAAAGATGTGAATTATTTTTATTATTATTTAAATTAAAGATTATTTTTTCGATATCAAGATGTGAGTGACTCCCACTGAATAAGGAGGGAGAGGGTCTAGTATAGCATCTATGGAGTTTCTGAGTCTACGGGATCTATTATGCTGACCGCAGCAACAGTTGGGGATGTAACTGCTCCACCCTTACTACGGGAATTCCCATGGAAATTCTTGAATTTGGCTGATTTCGTCCTCGGGTGGCCCGGTGAAGTCTGTTGTCATCTTCTTGAATCGGGTCCAAGCCAAGGTGGTGGTTAAATTGGCTATAATCACATTGTGAAGATTGCCAGATTGCTGGATTTCATTGCAGTTAAGAAAATGTTTTTACGATCTACGATGAATTGGCTAGTGTTTTGGAGATTTAGTTCCTGAAGAAGCACTTTGAAGTTTGACAACTGAGTGACGTGGAAATTCAAATCAATGTTTGCCCAGATATTTGGTTGGCCAGAAGAATTCTTGCTTCATTTGTTTCCCCCGATACATTATTTGGCTGTTGATATATTGACCAGATATTGGTTGATTTGTGGTATCCAGTGTAATTCCAAGTGGTTAGCAGAGATGTCCAGCGTAGCTGAACGTGAAAAAGCGTCTATGGTCGTGAGGAATTTGTTTCCGTCCAATGTAAAAATGTCAATGTGGATTATTTTGTTAGGACGTGTGGGTGTGGGGGTGACATTCAATTCAAAGTTGAGGGGCATTCTATCGTATTTTGTCTTTAAGTAACTCTCATCTATTAATATAATTTAGAATATGGGTTTTTAAGTTAGACCAATCAAATGTACTTTTTATTTGGTTATACATTTCGCCTATACCTCTGTGATTTGTCTTTCCGACATAAGAACTGTCATTTACTTCTAGCATCTCGTTTTGGTTACATCCCGTAGTTTTGTACAACAACGGAATATATCAACTCAGATAGCTTAAAGCATTGTTTCGATCAATTTTCTGTACACCCCAATAGTCTCTAGGGTTAGGTTTGACTCCTTTGCCATTTTTCAGAAAGGAGGGAAAATTCAAAAGGTGAGGTTGAAATGGGAAGTTGGTGTCCGAGTGGATCGAGGCCACGATAGTTCAAGTGGTAGAGCAGCGGCGTATTTAGCCGAAGGTCGTGGATTCGAATCCCGCTTGTGACACTGACTTTTTTTATCTCAACCAATACCATAATTAAAAGATTAATTAATTGAAAAGAATTTATTTGGTCAAACGGACCACGAAACCTAATAAATAAAAATAACCTATGTAATTATTTGGAGTTCGTGAGATGCGTTTGGTGTGACGTAGGTTTTAGAAAAACACTCTCTTTATCGTGCATACGTTTCGATCTTTATGAGATCATCTTCAGGGCTCAAAGTGTTTGTTTTTTGTGTAATTGTGTCATTCTTGAGTGTCGTGTTGATAGTGCAATCTTCTTGTGAAGTTGGGCTTAGCAGAGATGTCTAGTATCTGCGTCCTCTTCCATTCAGAACCCGGTCCTTCGTCTTCCTAATTAGCCCACATTTATAATGCCTAGGCACAATTTCATCAGGGATAGATTGAAAATTACCAATTCTGACATTAAAATCACCGGTAAGAATAAAACTTAAAGTGGAGTTGCTATTCAGAAACACAGATAATTTTCAAAGGCAACTTCCCAAAAATTACAGTTTAAATAAATCGGCAATATATAACATCCTTTGACCGAAGACTTACTATAGATCACGTCCTTACCGCAAATACTGGCGAAACTAAGCAGACTCAATATCAATAGGCAATGCAGACCTAATACCAGCTCAGCCAAACTTGGAACGTATTATAACATACTAGTGATAGATTATTTTCCCAATTAATTGTAAGTGCAGGACATGTTGAAGACGAACTTTGGCTGACGGCGACATCTTGGGATGTATACTTAGGACGAATATGACCAGAATCTCAATGGGGGGTTACAGGCTGCGATGGAAATCTGGCGAAGTAATCAGCTGGAAGAGAATTTGCCTATAATGCCTTCACCATATCTGACGGGTCCAATCCCAGTAACTCCGCCACCTTTTTCACTCTCTCCTCGTTTCTGCATCTGAGACCGTTAGGACACGACCATCCTAACCTATGCCCTCTTATGAGTTTGTGACGAAGTAATTTACATATTTGTTATTAAGTTACTTATTTATTTTAATCCTTTTAAACCAGGGTTAAAAAATAAAATAAATTCCTTTTTTTTTACCATTTAACATTCATTAAAATTACTATTCTATTTTGGCATAAGTTTCCCAAATTAATGAAATCCTTTGAAACGAGGCAAAGGTAATGTGCAGCCTTAAGAATACAGAAAACCAATAAATACCTTTATCAACGAAAAGCCCTTTCCTACACGGATGTCCAGCTTGTTCTATTGCAGATAATTTTTTTCCTTAACAATCCGTGAGGGAAGGCGTCAGTGATAAGGGAGAATGTCAGGGGTTAGTGAGTCAATGAGTCAATTATGACCCTGACAGAGTAGAGATCCATTAAATATGCATAATTTTTCGGAAGATTTCTCTTCTTAACAAACAACGTTTAGAGTACTTTCTTTGAATATTTTCAGAAAAGTCTTGGTGAATTGTACAGGCTATCAATATAGTCACTTGGTCCAAAAAACGACAAACGAAGCCAACAGAGGCCTATGTTGAGTATTTCGGGAGCCCAAAAAAGGAATGCTAACAAACTCTTCCTTAATTAATTGTAATTTATTAATTGGTCAAGCGGACCACGAAATTAGGGAACTTAATGTTAACTTTAAACAATTTTGCAATTGTCAACTGGTTTGTAAGTGAGACCCTTAAAAGTTAAGTTATTTGGACGAGTTCTGGAACCATCTTTCGTAAGTTTTTTCCTGGGCCAATTTTAAGAACTCAGTTGTCTTCTCTTAATTTACCGTTATCTTCCTTGAGAGTACTTTAAGCAGTAGCTTTAAGCAGTAAAATAGTTTACTCTCCATATTGCCAAGTTTACTGTCTAAAAAATTATTTATCATTTGATACAGATTTTATCGGTTGATATATAGACAGAGGTTGCACATCCTGAGAGGAAGCACTTGACTCGGCCATAATTTCTTCAGAAATAACTCTGTTCTTTTATGTCGAGAGGTTTGTGAAAATGCACATTCTATTTTCTCACAAACTGTCCGATAAAAACGAACTCAAATTTCACGGTTAATATAGAAATAAAAGATGAAATTGGAGATGTAAAAATAAATTTAGCAAAGCCGTGAAAAAAACCACTGAATTTCTAGAAAAAAATAGCAGAGCATAGTATGATGCTTACAGTATGATCATTCACAATCAATTCCCAGTTAACGAGCTGTGATTAATGATATAAGAGCGGATTTTTTTTATATTATTATTATTAAGAAAAAGTGATAGTAAAACAATTAGAATTATTTAAAAATTTAAAAATAGTTTGTTAGTTTGGCACCAGTCGGAAAGATTATTAAGAACGTTTAGTAAATTAATGCAATCTATAAAGCAGAATAAATTTTTGTATTTATTTTTAGATCGTTAGAGAAGGATAGAGAGCAGTTTTAAGATTTTCCCGATGAAAAGGGATGCATTGTGTTGTAATGAAAATCATACATTAACATTTCTGATATGCCTAATATTGCTATTCTAATGTTTATGGTTTTTTCAGTTGATTTGATCAAAATCTAAATGGACAGCGGTCAAATTTTCCGAATATTCGGTGCTGTCTCTAAAAGCGGGTTTCACTAAAAGCTTTTTATCCGTTCTTCCGGGTTTACTAATTCAATTTTTATTATTTTTCTCATATTCTCCATCGAATTTCAAAAAAACAAAACAAATGGTATTCATCATCAATTTGAAGATAGATTTTTTAAAATTCGTTAGAGGCGTTTTCTTTTTTCGACATTTAACTCGATATATGGCTTCAGCCAACATGATTGTTTGAATTTAAGTACTTCGTAGATTTTTGAATTTTTAAACCCAAATAGTGCTCGTTTACTGATTTGTAATGAATTGTGTAATCATCTTTAACATAATGTGGAAATTGGAATTTGTCCCAAGAAACTTGGGTTTTGTATGTCTGCAAAAATATCCAAACAGTTTTCATTTGTGGTTTCTAGGATCCCCTGAGACTACGATTTCTTCTATAGAAATTCTATAAAATGTACTTTTTCTTGTAACCTTTCGGTATTTTCTGTCTTTTTTTGGTTTTGATTTTCAATAATTTTTACTTTATTATTTATTTCATCTATGTTTATTTTAAATTCCTCGAATTTAGTGCTAACTAAATCGAAGATTTTCGCAATTCCTCAATTTTACCTTTAGATTGGCTTCAATTTCGAATATCTGTGTTGTATTTAATTTGTGTTTTATAGATCTTATTTCGCCTGTTAAATCGTTTATGGACATCATGGCATTTTCAAGGCTAATCTCTTTGGCTTTATCAACGTTTTTTTTCTTGATTTTGATTGTTGATTCCTTGATCGTGTGTCGTGTTGCAACACGGTAAGCCGTACAAGTGGGGCCTTCCTTATCAGGGAACGTTTCTGATTGTGCAGCGATGATCAAGTGAAACCGATTCTTAACTTTGGCTCAAACCTTTAAGGTCTGTCCACACATATCCGTGACGGGACGGCACCGTTGCTCTCCGTGTTCCGTAGCCTCCGGTGACATCCGTGATAAATTTTTCTTTGCTATTCACACAGTACCGTACCTTTCCGTGTCAGTGTTCTTCAGTGATCAAATGTGTCTGCTCGAGTGATCTCAGTTTTCTCTCCACAATGAACTTCAGTACAGAAGACTTGGCAGTAATTGCATTAATTTTAGACGAAGAAGAAGAACAAGAGAAGAGAAGAAGACTCTGGGTTCATCCCATATGGATGCTTCGAGGCGCGGAAGGAGAGTTTGCGACTTTGTATAGAGGCTTGGTGGACGACGAATGTAAATTTTATGAATACTTTCGAATGAGCCAAAGCGCATTTCATGTTTTGCTCGCTAAAATTGAGAAGTTTATCATGAAAAAGGACACATTCTGGAGAAATGCTATTTCTGCAAGAGAAAGACTCGCCGTGTGTTTAAGGTAAATGTTTATTGGTTATTACAAACGAATTTATAGTGGCATATTTCCTATCAGACTTATATATTTTATTACTTTATCTTCTGTGGTTGATGCTAGTTTTTTGACTTTTTATTTTGTAAATAACACTCCTATAAATAAGTTGCGTCAGATATGTACAAGTGATTGAAGGGTTCATTAATATTAAAAAACATTTTAAAACAATATTTAAAAAAAATTTTATTATATTCAAACAGGAATATTAGATTACAATATAAGTATACTTTGCAGCATCGAGTCAGGGTTGTTCTCCACCAAAAGCCTGCCAATATTCTCTTACACTCTCTGCACTTCCTGTGGAAGAAGTATCATCAATTATACCAATACCAGGTTGAAATGATGCAGCATTTGTGTAAGGCGAATGTTGAATCACCTGTCCCTGCTGATTTTGCAGCATTTGAAGCTCGTACTTTTGAACTGTTGAGAAAATCTCGGACTTGGCTAAATGTTGTAAATAAGGAGGCATAGATTTCATAGTTGCCGATATCCCGAACAGGAAACAGTCGATAGGGTTATCTAAAGTTACGGTGGGTGTATTTTTTTTACCTTCGTTATTCTCGATAACATACTTCATAAGTGCAGAAGCTGCTGTCTCATGTTGGGGGGTTTTCTTCCTACCAGTCACAGGGGTAGGTCTGGCAAAGCAAGCTGCAGAGGTGGAGGGTATATCATTGCTAGTTGTAGGATGTTCTTCGAATGGTGGGCTTGATGGCTGGTTCGATGATTGTGGAGGAGAAACAATGTTGTTTGTTAGTCGAGTTTCTTCTTCATTGTCATCGTTAAATTCTCCGTTTTCTGAGTCAGGATGCAATCCTATGTTTCCCTTCGTTTCACGTTCTTCCATGAATTCCAGCAAAAATTGTAGCTGGTTTTCAAATCTATACGGTTTTGATTTCTTAGCAGCTTGTCCACTTTTTGTTTTCCTTTTTCCCCAAGACTTTTTGAAGTTATCCCGTATATTATTCCACCTGGATTTGCACTGACTGCCTATAAACAGAGAAGGATAAAATTGTGTAAACAAAACATTACACACAAATATTTTTCATAAATTGACCTATCTTCTAAAGTATGAATAATATAATAATATAGTAACAAATATTATGGCCTTGTCACAAAATTATTCAAAAAACTTGTAATACTATCAACCATGTTTTTTTTTCTAGATATCTTGCTACAGGTGATTCGTTCAAAACGATTTCGTTCAGCTACCGGATGGGGCACTCAACTGTTCAGTCAATAGTGACCGAAACATGTCGTGCAATAGTTGAAGGTTTGATGAGTGAAGTGATGCCTGAACCATCAGAAGAAGATTGGAAAAGAATCTCACAGGATTTCAAAGGCTATTGGAATTTCCCGAATTGCATCGGGGCTGTAGATGGCAAACATGTCAGCATACAGGCACCACCAAAAAGTGGATCTCAATTTTTTAATTACAAGAAAATTTTTTCTGTTGTGCTGCTTGGCTTGTTTGATGCCAATTACAACTTTATTGCTGTAGATGTAGGTGCCTATGGCAAAAGCAGTGATGGTGGTATTTGGGCACGCTCTAACATCGGTAAAGCATTTGAATCAGGCAACTTTTCGGTACCTGGACCCGTACTTCTCCCGGGCACAAGCATCGAATTACCACACATTATAGTCGCTGATGAGGCTTTTCAGTTAAAACCGTATATTATGCGCCCATACCCCGGTCAGGAATTAGACAATCCAAAAAGGATATTCAATTATCGCCTGAGCCGTGCCAGAAGGGTTTCGGAAAATGGGTTTGGAATCTTGGTTCAAAAATTCAGATTATACAACAGACGGATTCAGTCATTACCTGCAAATGTGGACAACATAATATTGAGTACCTGCGTTTTACACAATTTCATACGAAAGTATGAAAGGTACGAAGGTACACCAGTCATCAGTGGAGAAACTTCTAGCAACGAGTACAGGCCAGTCAACTCAGCACTAAGGAACTTGTCTCACAAAGGCGGAAATGCCACTAAACACGCCTTTCAAATTAGAGATGCATTTAAAGATTATTTTGCTTCAGAAGCAGGATCAGTTCCTTGGCAAAATCAAGCTATTAGTGGCCGAGATCAATGATTTTGTTAATGACGTTTACCACGTCCTTACTTGAAAGTTGGTTAATTGTTTGTAGGTATTTATTATGTAGTAGGTTTTTTATTATGTATTTACTATTTCGTCTTTCGTAATTTACTATTCGTAATTATTTTGTATTTTGTAATAATAAAGTAAATTTTGTAAGATAATAAATTTATAAACTCACCATCGACATTAATTTTGAGACCAATTTCCTGCCAAATTCTTCCTTTCCAATCGGCATTTAGGTATTTGGGGTCCTTCAAATCGTAAAGCACTGGCCGTTCCCGAACCAACTCGATGAGAAGCTCGTCGTTCATATTAAAAAAAATGAGGTACACACAGAAAATACAAAAGTGAATAGAGCAAACTCGTTTAAAAAATACGGACGTGAAAACTGAAAATATCGGCGAGGACGTATTTCTTATTTTCACAGTGGACGCCGGAAGGGCACTGAGAGTGTCGGAGAGCCACGTTGTCGTTCATGTTTGAACACGCACCGTATTTCTTCCTTAGTTTACAAAGAATTTTCGTCAGCCGATTTTTTTTTTTCACTGAAAGTCACGTGACGGTACGTTACGTCCCGTCACGGCACGGATATGTGTGGATCGACCTTTAGGTCTCATCCAATTACGATTACAGATCCAAAGTCGCGCACAGCTTGTCAAGTCCTACACGGCAGAAACTTTCCGAATCAAAACGATCGCTTGTACCTTGACGCTTGTAATAACGCAACAAATCGCGACAACACGGCGATGTTAGCGTGTCCATTGACTGAGTCCAACTGAATATAAAAGGTATCCTAAACACTACAAATACGACTATATATACACTAATGCGAACAAATGGGCTTGCATTTCCTTGGAAAGTAGGGGTAAGTTGTTGTTTTTTATTTGAGGCACGATTCCAAGTTCTCATCGATAAGCCGATTTCTTAAGCTGGGCGCACACTAGGTCGGTGGGGCGGGGCGGCGCGGCGCGGAATTGTGAAGGTCCGCACACTATGTAGGAACCGCTCTCGGCCGCGTTGGTCGAATTTTCCCGTTCTATCTGACTAGCGCTGCGGTTTTAGTGTTGATTTTGCATTTTCAGGTGTCTTTACAAATATGGCAGCAGAATATCTGCATACTCACTGTCTACCTCAATTAGAAATTCTTTAAATTGGCGATAGTAAAGAGCTTTAGCTAGAATGGAGTTGATAATCTTTATCACCAATTCCATTACATTGCAAATTTCTTCAGGAAATGTCATAGTGCTTCCTGATGAATAATGCAATGGTAAGTAAGTATGTCGTGATTAATGTTTTCTTTAAAAATAGCGACAAACCCATTTCTTGCACCTCTCATACTTTTTGCTACGTCTGTTGAAATCGAGACAATTTGTTCTAATGGAATTTGATGTTTTTCGAAGCACTTCATTACATTTGCAGTATGTACTATACGCATTTGTCCTTTGAGTGGCAATAAACCCAAAAGTTTCTCTTTCGGGCCTGTAGTTGAGATAAATCGCATAAAAAGAGAAACTTGCTCTGTGTCATTTATATCACAAGATTCGTCAACTGCATTGATAGAGTTGAGGCCAATTTGAGATTTCAATTTGTTTATTTGTTATGTTTGCAGGCTTTCTATTGTTCTATCTTTCACTGTTTTAGCAGACAAAGGTATCTCTTGATTTCTTTTTAATTGTCTGCTCTATTCTTAAACTCTAAAAAAGCTCTTCGGATGCACTTTATAAAACAACAACTCTTTATATAGTCTCCGTCCGTGTATGGCTTTCCTCTCTGAGCAATCTCCTGACTAACAACTAAACTTGCCGTATTTACAATGTTAGAAGATTGCACCCAGTGATTAAAAACAAAAGCTGGCCTTACTTGTCTCCTCTGGAGTTCCTCGACTGCGTTCTTCCTTGCATCAAAACCCGATATTTTGGTAATAAATGATTCGTGTTTGGTCGTAAAGTATCTTTCTAAATTAGAGTTTTTTTGTTATGTGCCACTTTTTCTTGAGAAATAAGACAGCTCGGGAGGCCATTATTTTAAGATTTGGATAAACGCAAACTTTTCTGTTCACTCCACTTTCAATTCACGGTTTTCATCTTCCGTTTTTCTTTGCTTTTTCTTAGCAGCCATGATGGGCACCTAAAAAATGTTGCATTTTGAGTAAAAATACAGCATTAAACACAAAATTATAACAAAACTAAACAAAGATAATTAAATACTTGTGGAATCTGTAGATGGAAAAATATGTATAACTGTCCGATATAGCCTCTGGAAATGTAACCATGCTCTGTTACCAGGAGTCAGCTTCCGTACCTAGGCCTGAGGGATTTTTGATACTTACATTTCCAGAGGCTCCCCTCAGCCGGATGTTGGAGCTCAACTTCTTCTTCTTGGTAAATGCCGCAGCTTAGTAGAGTGCGCAGGTATTTTATTATCCCCTCCTCAGAATAATAAAACGGAAGAATGAGGGTGAAATAAAATAGGAGAAACCAAAAGAGTAAAATAAAATAGGAATCCTTGACCAAAAATAAAATATATTCTTCTTAAAAATGAATACAAACAAAATTAAATAAAATACCGAAATTATAGATGGCCTTTCTTTCAAATATCAAACGAATCGTTGATCGGAGGAGAGGGGGTGCCGGTCTTCTTGATAAGGGTGACCGGTGGCCGGCTTCGTATATAACTGGGACAAAAGAATGATTCCTCTCTGGTTCCTTTACCGTACCGTACGGTAAAGAGGGGGTCCCATATTGCCCTTTTCCCATGGTATGATGATGTCATTGCACTCAAAGAGATCATCAGTGAGCTCTGTTGGAGTCATTCCTTTGGGGACCAGTTGTATGAATATCCTCGGGTAGCGTTTTGTTAGCTCACTTACTTTTCACCCTCCTTTTGGAGAATTTCCATCGGCTTGGAACGGTCTTCAGCAGTATCCATCTTTATGTCCACGCCACCTCGTGCAGTGTACTCAGGCCCTCGATTCTCACCTTGGTTTGTTTTTGGGCGGGGGATTGACGACGCTTTTGATACGATCTAAAAATTCTAGGGCGTCCCCTTCTGGTTTGTCAACCACAACTACATGTCCTTGCCTTATCATTAGAGCGTCCATGTTTTTCTTTTGGCTTTGTTTCTTCCAGTTGCAAAGTTTATCATTTATTTTGTTCGGGTGTTTGCTCAAGGCGTCTTCCCCGACTTTTGGGAGTTCAGAGCGTTGCTTCCCGGTTCTTTTAGTCGCAGTGGCCACTTCCTAGTGTCCTCAAGGTCAGTGCTACAACTCACTGTGTTTAAATTTTCAGATGTACTTGTCCTATTTGGCTGTATCACTTGTTTACTTGTTCCGTTGATGGTTCTCGAATCCGCTTTGTTGTTTTGTTGCTTGTTGAGATGATAACCGAATCGGTCATCATACTAGTTGAAACCAGTCACGGTTTACTCGCAAAAGCTTTATCCCAAAACTAAAATTATTATATTGAAAATTGTAACAAAGGGGGGACCATTAAATAACAACTAAAAATAAAACGAAAGTTTATTTAAAACAAACAACTAAAGGGAAATTAAATCGTGCCCTTATGGCACTTGGTAACAAACGAAATTTATATTAAATTTAAAATGAACAAAAACCACAACAAACTCATGTTTGGCCTCTACTTATCTTTTAATTTTGGCTTTGGCCTTTTCGTCGACAACAATAGGTCTTCGTCTCGCTTTCTCCACTTCCGGGAACACACTGCTCTTTGCCTTCCCTCAATCAAGTATAAGCTTGCAGAAGGAAGGGCTATTGGTCAGGCTGACGTGTGGAGTTGTAGCGTCATGCTGCAGCGTCACACTGTTCGGTCTTCGAATTTCTTTCATAATTACCTTTTCATCTCCCGATGGCTACTATCAATTTTATCTATCTTTCTCATTTAATTCGTTCATTACCCCTTTAATGGGGGGGGAGGCTCGAGTTCTTCGTGTTTTGTTTTAGGTCATTCGGCGGTGTTCGTAATCGCGGGTGTTAGAGCAACCAATTATGTCCTCAACGATATAGTTTTGGTTTCGGTAGTGCTAATTACGTCCTTTGAGGTAGGAATTCTCATGGAGCGTTTGCTGCTGTCCGACTTAGTTGCCGAGTCTTCCGGATTACACTCGGTGTTATTCTCTCTTAACACTTCTTAACACTTAACGCTCGATAGCTCTTTCGAAAGCTGGGGAGACGATGGTTATACTGGAATCATTGTTAGCTGAATTTCTTCGTTTAAACACTAGTCGACCTCCAAGGAGCACTCTAAAAAACGTCCGCACGCTCTGAAAGCTCGAGGCCAACTTCTTCCTAGCTTTTGGGAAATTGGTAATGCTTAGGCAGTCAATCATTAGCGGCTGCACATACGGCGCGATTGAGGCAGCACAACTTATCTTAGCCTGTTGATTGAGCGTAACACTTCGTTGTTGCACAAAGGGGGTGCAGTGCACTCACTCGCTAGCTCTTACTCTTGGCCTTATTCTTTTGTCCTTATTCAGTCATTTGCTGAGACATGTAATGGCTAGATATTTCATCTTTAGTCGATTTTCTATGTTAGGAAGGAGCCGTCGCGTGGGACGACCCTTAGAAGAATCGTCCCATCTCAGCTGCCCGCTCCCTAACCATCCACTCATCTGCCTCTTCCGTGCTCGTGACTGGGATGCAAGGTGGGCGTCCACTCTTTATTTTCCATTTTGCGCACATAGCTTTCGCTTTTAGATCGATAGGCGGTCGGCCAGCATGACTTGTAGGGCTACCGTGGATACCGTCCTGTAGGCCTGGGTGACGGCGAGCAGGGCTGCGCGCTGGGCTTGTTCAAGCACCGCGCGGTCATTCGTCTGTAATTCACGAGTCCCACGCCGGCGCCGCGTACAATATTACAGACTCGCACAGCGCCGTGTAGTAGACTTGTCTCGTTTTGTACGAGACTCCCCACGTGGCACCAGATCAGGAGCGGATAGCCGCAATCCTCGTGGGCATACTAGTTTTTGCGCTCAGGGCATTTGAGGTAAATCTTAGGTCGGGTGTCATTCTTACTCCGAGGTACGACCGGGCTGGGGGGCTCTTTATGGTCTCACCATCTATACCTATCGAACATTGAGCTTGCCCTTCAATAACATGAGCTCCGTTTTTCCCAAGGCCAGTTACAATTTAGTTCTATGACACCAGCTTTCCGGCAGGGCCTCGGCAATTGCACCCTTTTGCTCTATTTGTGCCTTTGTGTCCGCCTGAATGATGACGGCTACGTCCTCAATGTAAGCAGCAGGTGTGAGTCCTGCTCCGCTCAGATCAGCTAATGCGTCGTCAAAGAGTACCGCCCATAGATAGAAGCCAAGCATTGATCCTTGAGTGATTCCTTTCTAGACAGATCTTCGGCAGTCACTGCTCAGTGTAACGTCTTCGCCTTCTTTGCACACTGTTCCTAAGCCGTTGCCGGCTCTATATAGTTTCTTAGGCGCTTTGTCTAGCTTTTTTATTATAGACGGAGCAATAACGTAAAAATAAAAAAATAAATAAATATAAATAAATTAAGGAAAACATCCTACAGCGCTCCAGAAAAGGGCCAGTACGTGGGCGAAAGAAAAAAAAACAATAATAAATAAATTAAATAAATAAAAATAAATAAATTAATTAAGCAAAACATAAAAACCCTTCGCACCGCACCCTTTCCGAGCACTGTCCCTGAGCCATTGTTGACTTCTTACAGCGCTCCAGAAAAGGGCCAGTACGTGGGAGAAAAAAAGTAAATAATAAATCAATTAAATAAATGAATGAATGAATAAATAAATAATAATACACATAAATACATAAATTAAGAAAACATAAAAACCCTTCGCACCCCACCCTGTCCGAACACTGTCCCTGAGCCATTGTTGGCTTCTTACAGCGCTCCAGAAAAGGGCCAGTACGTGGGAGAAAAAAATTAAATAAATAAATAAATAAAAATAAATAAATTAAGCAAAATATAAAAACCCTTCGCACCG